TCTGGGAGAGAGATGTCATTCTGGGCTGCTGGGACCGGGGGAACATGTACAGCCACAGCATCCTGACAGTAAGGCCCCTCAGTGTCCCCACATGGTGCTCCTGGCCTTGGGAGCGGGTGTGCATCCCCCCAATCCCTGTCTGTGCTGAGCCCCCACTCCCTGCAGAACCTGAACAACTACGTCACAGGCTGGACTGACTGGAACCTGGCGCTGGACCTGGAGGGTGGCCCCAACTGGGTCAAGAACTTCGTGGACAGCCCCATCATAGTTGACAGCCGAGAAAACATCTTCTACAAGCAGCCCATGTTCTACCACATGGGGCACTTCAGGTGGGACACTGCTGCACCTCCTGCAGCCGGTCATGGCAGCCTCCCAGGAGCCCCGGGAGGCAGTGACCCTGTGGCATGTGCCCCTGGGCTCTGTGTTGCGCCAGCTCAGTCTTGGGGCTGCCTGTCCCCTCCGTGTGCTCACAGCACTGTTCTTGTCTTTGCAGCAAGTTCATCCCTGAGGGCTCACAGCGCGTGGGGCTTGTTGCTTCCAGGTCATGCAAGAAGTGTGCCCTGGAGTATACGGCCTTCCTGCGCCCTGACGGTTCTGCCGTTGTCGTGGTCCTGAACAGGTGAGCGGCATGACCAGCAGCAAGCAGGGAGCCCAGGGCTTGGGACCTGGATCTGGCCTTTGTGGAGAGTGGGGAAAGACTAAGGCTAACGACAGCTTCCCCTGGAACAGCAACCCGGGTTGGTAGCCTGAGGCTGGTGCTGCAGCTCCTTGCAGGCAGGGAGGGGACATCCGCCCCTGCCTGTGCTCTGTGCAGTGAGGAGCGTGGGGAGCACTGGGCTGCTGGAGTGCCATTGGGATCCATTGTGGCATTGCTCTGGGCTTCTGCGGGTCCCTGGGCCATTGTGCCTCCACCCCAGCCTGGTGCACAGATCTCAGGCCATTTGGGGAGGCAGGGGGGTGCTGACCCCCAAATGCTGGAGCCAGTGGGAATCTGTCACTACACCCTGAGCCCAGGGCATGTGGCTCATCCTTGCTCGTCATTGTGCAGGTCTCACCAGACCCTACCCCCTCCCCTTCCCTGCAGGTCGCTGAGGAGTGTGGACTTCAGGCTGGTGGACAATGGCCGTGTCATCAAAGCCACATCTCCGGCTCAGTCTATCCAGACCTACCTGTGGAGGCGGAGGTGACTGGGCCTGAGAGCCCAGCGAGAGAAGGCCTTGGCCAGCAGCATCCATAAGCTGCCCTGTGTGGCAAGAAGAGGCTCTGGCCACTGCTGATGGCACCAGGGGGGTTGCATGGCGGGTGCAGGTGCCTCCCCCAGAGTGGGTCCCTGGCCCCTTGGTTGCCCCAGACAAACCCAGGGAGCTGTCACCCTTGTGACCAGGAGCCCTGCTGCCTCATTGGGCTTGGACACATGGGGGCATCAGGATGCCGGCACCCAGAACAGGTGCCTTTGACTACTATTTAAATGGAAATAAACATGCTAACGAAGCATGGGCATCTGCATGTGTCTGGGCACCAGCCTGCTCCGTGTCAGCCCTGGCCTGGCAGAAGGGGCAACTCCCTCCCTGTCCAAGCTGCTGTTCTGCTGGGAGTATAGAGCTCTCTGCGTAAGCCAAGCATTGCGAGAGCCCGTTGCTCTGGTTGTGGCAGCATGCTGGTGCCAGCATGGGCAAGGGCACATGCCGGTCCATGTCCCCTGGTCAGCAGTCCCGAGAGGCCTTTGGGCAGAGATCTGGGGGATACTGCTGGGCTGAGGTCCCATCTCTCACTTGCAGAGATGCAGGTATGAGCCCAGCTCTGTGCTTATGGCAGTCTGCAGTGGTAAGCTTCAGTGGTTGCTGCTCCAGCTGAGCTGGGCAGGGGTGCCTGTCAGTGCCCTGCACAACCTGAGGCCTGGCCTCCATGGAAAGGCTCTCACTCAGGCAGCGTGAGCACCAAGAGCTGCCCCAGAGCCTGGGTGGCCTGACCGTGGCTCCTGGTGAGCACTGGGTAAGCCAGGGCTGTGCATGCTACAGCACTAGATAGTGGTGCACTCATGAGCCACCTCTGGGCACGCTTGTGAGGGCAGGGAACACGCAGTGGCACATGGGGGCAGGGCAGTGTCACGCATGCCCCAGCTGTTGTGGGAGACCCTGTGGATGTGTTGGGTGGAAGGTGCACCAGGGCGCATTGTCCAGAGGCTCGGAGACAGGGGCACGGGTTGTGGCCAGCACCGTCAGGCTTGCAGGATCCTCCCTTAGGTTCTTGCTTTGCTCCTCTTCAGTGACCCTCCCTAATGAGCAGGCAGCCGGTGAAGAGCTGGCTGAAGCAGAGCTACTGCAGAGGTGGTGGCTGCAGGGCCCCAGCACCCCAGCACAGCAGAGCCAAAGTCAAGACACAAGTGTGTCTGTTCAGCCGCTGTTCCCCACAGCAACTCATGGGCAAGGTGAACAGCATGAGGGCAAATGCTGCAACGCACTTCCACCCCCAGTCTGTTCAGAGCTGGCAGGGTCTGCCTTCTCTGGGGCTGAGTCACAGTTTTGCTTTCCTGAAGCAGAATGAAGCCCCCGGGCCCCTTCCCAGACAGGCCTGCCTGAGCCCAGAGCCGCACTGGTAAGTAGTGGGGGGGGAGCCTGGCTGGAGGTCCAGGCTCCCTGCCCTGCTGGGGCTGCCTGCCTGGGGCTCTGGGGAACCTGCTGCACACCCACGGCCCGGCTTCTGCTGGGCCTGCAGGTTGCAAGCGCCATGACCCTGCTGCAGGCAGCACTGCCCTGCTGCAGCAGCACTGGTCCAGCAGGGGGTGCAGTGGCTCCGGTAGGGTGCAGTGTTGAGCATCTCCCTGCAGTGGGGCGGGGCTCCAGGCAGGGACAGTGACAGACCCCCGGGAAGCCCAGCTGTGGTGCAGGGGTGACCTTGGGGGAAGTAGAGGGGGCCAGAGGGGCTGAACGTAGGCTCTGTGCTGGCCCTGGGCTGTCCCCACTGCAGCCTGGCACCCAGGCAGGCTAAGGGCCATGGAGCTCTGCAGTGTAGGCACTTGCTGGTCACGGGCGCAGCTGCCTGCACCATGCTATGCAGCACCATGCCTATGGGACACCAGTGGGACAGCACAGCTGCAATGGGTGGGTGAGGCCATGGTAGATGCGGAGTGGTTGTGTCAGCCTCTCCCAGCCCAGCCCAGCCCAGCCCAGCTAGGTGAACTAGCCTGCCCCGAGGCCTGGCCTCCGGCCCCCAGGCCTTTCCAATGGGTGGATGGGGAGGCCAGGGTCCCCCCCAGCATCAGGGTGTGCCCTGGCCACAGGCCCATCCTCAACCCATGAGCAGGCTCTAGCTGCTGTGGGAGGTGCTTCCTGCAGCTCCTCCAAGCCCATCTCCAAGTCCCAACAGGCCCCAGGCAGGCACCTGCCACCCCCGTTCCTGACTCAGCTGCCTCCAGTGAGATGAGGCCTCCAGCACTGCACCAGGCAGGCAGAGCAGAGCGAAGATCCTGCTGGGCTGGGACACGGGAGGGGGAGTGCAGCAGCATCTCCCATCCCTAATGGCGGAGCCAAGGGCAGGACTCGGCAGGGCTCTGCCTCCCCCGGGGTAGGACAGCATCTTGCCCCAGGAGCCCCAGCTGGACCAGGCTGCCAGGCACAGCCAGAGTCCAAGGCACAAGGACAGCCTGGTGCACCCAGCGTCCTCCATCCATTGTGGGCTTCAGCCTTGGTTGGGGTGGCCCTGTGTGATCCCTACCCATGCTCCCTCTCTCCTCTCCAGCCGTATCCTCCTAAGGCACAAATGAGCAGGTGCCCAGATAAGAATTTGGGGCCACACAGGTGCCTGCCCACCCCAATTCCCTTCCACAACCCCTGCAGTGATGCCCATTCCCCATCTCCCCCAGGGCGCAAGTCGCAGTCAGGGGAGGGTAATGTCTGCCCTGTGATGCAGCTGCAACCACCTGGGGGGAGCTGCCCAGCTGGAGTGTGTCTCAGGCCAGGGTGGGGAGATGCAGTGCACCAGGAGCTCACAGGGCTGTAGCTCTTCTTGGCCTCGTGCCCCAAGTGCTCAGCTTCCCCTGCGTGACCCTGCCAAGACCCAACCCAGCCTCTCCCTGGGAGCAGCAGCTGTGAAGAATGGAGGAGAGAGTCCCCAGCACAGCACTGCTTGACCAGAGCTGCAGTGTCCTTCCTCTCCCAGGAGTCTTGTTGTGCCGCGGCTGCGTGTGTCCCAAGCCCATGTCCCTCTGCCCCATAAAGGCGACAAGCTATGTGCAGGGCCTCCTCCAGCATTGTAGGCCCTAGTACCACAAGAGAGCACACCTGGAAAGATCCTGCATGGATGTGTGTGGCAGCAATTTGCACCAGTTCTGGTGTTACCAGCTCTGCTCATGCTGGCCTGGGGGAGCTCTGAGCAGCTGGGGCAGCTGGTGCTAGGGGGTGGAGAGGGCTGGGCTGTCCTTGTATGAGGCGCCGGAGCGTAGGCGCAGGGATAGGAGCCCCGTGGTGCTCCTGACACCTGGTGGCACTGAGCCCTGTGGTGCACGGCCCCGCATTTTCTCTGCTGCGCCTAGGCCTCATTGCGCATGGAGTGGAAGGGGCACAGGCTTCGCTGAGAACCCCAGGAGCCACAGCCCTTACCCAGGCCCCAACAAGGACCAACAGGCCCCGTGGTCCCCAGCTGTGGCAGCCTCATGGAAGCCACAGCAGTGCAGGGGACAGTCCTGTGGTGTGGTCACCTGTGGAGGGGAAGGCTCCATGTTGCAAGGGGAGAAGCAGGAGCTGCAGGTGTGGCCAGCAGTGGTAAAACCCTGTAACAGCCTGTGTAGGGCATGGAAAACCTGCTCCCAGGCCTGAGGCACAGCTGTCCTGGGAAAAGAGGCTCTGGCTCTGGCATCGGAGGGTGGGGGGTCTGGCGCGCACTGCATGGTGAGCAAGGTTCAAAAAGCCTGGAGCACGCGTTGCAAAACCTCCTGCCCCGCCCTGAGGAGCCCTGAAAACCAGCTCAGAGCCGGGGCTCGCTGGGACTTGCCTTTCTGCTGCGCAAGGAGCTCCTGCCTCCTATAAGGCAGGTGCACCACCCCTCACTTTCTGCCAGTGGCTGAGCTGCTGCTGGGGTCCCGGGGCTCTGGTCTGTGGCCAGGGGCTGTTCCAGGCTGGCAGGCGACTGGGCTCGTGCTCCAGGCAGGCAGCAGGTGAGCCCGCTGGCCTTGGTGTGTCTGGGTTGGGGGCCACAGATGGGACGGGGGGGGAGGGTTAGGGGGGGATGACAGGTGCTGGGGGTGCAGAGGTTTCTGAGCATGTTCCTCTGGCTGGTGCTAGTGGGATGTTAGGCACTGAGCCTGCAGGACAGGGGGAGACCAGGCAGGTGGGGGGCAAGTGCTGGCAGAGACGGAGCATGCCCATTCTCTTAGCGAAGTCACGCGGTGGGGACTGGACATGTCATGCCCCAGGCTCCCTGGGGCTACAGCTGGCTGCCTGCCCTGCTCTGCATCGGGGCCCAGCTAGAGGGGCTGCCCTGCGCAATCCCCCATCCTCGTCCTCCCCAGCACATCTCCTCCCAGTGAGCGAAGCTGCCCAACAAGCTCCTGTGGCACTTACCTGTGCTGTGTGGGGCCTGCCTGGGCGTGCACTGGTTGCAGGTGTCAGGGCAGTGGCATCAGGGGCAGCATGCCCTGCAGAGGGGCTGGCTGCAGGCACTGTCTGGGGCCACGGTGGGGAGCAAGCGGCTGAGCCAAGGCTTCAGTGGCATCTGCCTGTTGAGCAGAGCATGGCCCTGGAGCCCGAAGTACTGCTGCCCGTGGGGTTGGGGAGGCGCCGTCCTGCCCTGCCCCACAGTTGGGTGTGTGGACATGAATACAGAGATGGAGGAGGGGAGGAGAAGCTGGAGTGGGTGAGAGGGAGTGGAACAGCACTGGGTGGGGCAGAGGGAGTGGATGTGGAGGCTGGGAATGCCGCTGGCACTGGGCGTAGGGAGGCTGGCGTGGGCCTGGTGCGGCTCAGGTGGAGCAGGAGTGGCTGCCATGAGGAGTCTGGGGAAAGTAGCGTGGGCCATGGGTGCTGCTGGGCCATTTTGCTCTGCTCCTGTCACCCCTCACTGCTGGGCAGGAGCAGGAGGAGTTGCACGTGGCCAGGAGGCTTCTGCGCTCACTGTCCCTGCCCCGCCGCAGCTCCAGATGCCGTCGAGACGCACAGGGCCCAGCCATGGGAGTCGAGCAGGCAGTGTTGGCGCCATGTGGGCTACCTGTGCCAGTGTCCTGGGCTGGCTCCTGCTGGTCCAGGTGGCTCCTGAGGCAGCAGGTGAGAGCTATGGGTGAGGACAGGGGCAGGACAGGGGCACGTCAACCTCTGTCCCCTGGGAGGTGCATTGGTGTCTGGGGGAGGCCAGAGCCCTGGGGTTGGGCACACAGTCAACACCGTGCCCTTGCGCCACGCAGCTCTGGGCTCTGCCTCTCCACCATCCTCTCGGCCTCTCCCTCCCCTGCAGGCAGCCACCCCTGCAATGCCCGCAACTTCGGGCATGGCTTGCTGGTGTGCGAGTGCAGTGCCACATACTGCGATACGCTGGACCCTGTCACCCTTCCGCCTGCCGGCACCTTCCTCATGTACGAGAGCAACAAAGCTGGCAAGCGGCTGGAGCGCAGCAAGGGCGGGGTGCAGAGGAGCCTCACGGACCCAGGTACTGTGTGAGGACGGGCCAGGCTGGGCTGGGGGCTGTTCCCATGATGGCTCTGAGCAGTGCCGTGCTCTGCCCCGCAGGCTTCCGTCTCACCTTGAACACCACGGAGCGGTACCAGAAGGTGAAGGGCTTTGGCGGCTCCATCACAGACTCAGCCGCAATCAACATCCTGTCCCTGTCCCAGGAGGCCCAGAACAAGCTGTTGCGGTCCTACTTCTCTGAGGAAGGTGTGTGTGGGGAGGGCGGGGGCATGGGGCCAGGCGTGTGCCCCAGGGGTTCTGACCTATGCGCCTCCGAGGTGCCACCTGGAGACCACTGTATTTTGGAATGGGCCGGGCAAGGGCACCCCAGCTGGAGCTGCCTGGGTGGGTGCAGGCGGCAGAGCCCAGCTTCCAGGCACTGAGCACAGAGTGCTGGGCACTGAGCACGGAGCCTGGCCAGTGGCCGTCTCTCTGCCATGCCTGCACAAGGCCCCCCAGCATCCTGGCAACTGGTGCCACTAGCCCTGGTGCCACAAACACCTGATCACCTGCCCCCAGGCATTGAGTACAACCTCATCCGTGTGCCCATGGCCAGCTGTGACTTCTCCGTCCGGCTCTACACGTACGCGGACATGCGGGGGGACTTCGCCCTCAAGCACTTCAGCCTGACCGAGGAGGACACCAAGATGAAGGTGGGCAGGGCCGGGGCCTTGAGCAGGATGGAAAGGTTTGCTCGGCTCTCCCATGCTCCAGCCTGGCCTGGGACGTTCCCTGCAGCCTGGTGGGGCTGGGCTGGGCTGGGCATGCCTGCCCTGCCCACTGGCATCTCTGACCCCATGGCCTGACTGAGCTGCCCATGGCCTGGTGGGGCCGGACCAGGCAGCATGGCCAGACAGTGCCAAGCCAGCTGTGGCCATGACCCGCTCTGAGGAGAAGGGGCTGCTGCCTATATGTCTGGAGCCTGTGGGTCCCCCTTTCCCTCCTGCCCTTTGTGGGTATTGCTTCTCGGCCTTTTGGCTCAGATCAAGCATGATGTCTATGCTTACCTGGCAAGGGAAATGCCGTGACCACCAAGGCGGCCTTCCTAGTCTCACCTGGGGAAGACCACTTTCCTGGCACGGGGATAGTACCTGCGAAGATAATGTATAGTAAACCTCCCACTTAGCTGCTGGAGTGAGAGGTCTTGGCTTTATGCCCACTTTATGGAAAGGGGAGACTCCTCTCTAGCTTGCTCCTGCGGCCATATAGCTGAGGACAAGCAAAACTTGGGGGCATCTGAACCCCAAGCCTCCAGGCTTGGGCCTTCAAGTAGGATGCCCACCAAAGGATTTAGAAACATCTGAAGCCCCAGATGGGGGTGGAGGAAGTTTGCCAGTAGTAGGGCCACTTATGGTTCTGGACTGACTCATGGATTTGGAATTGATTTGGCAAATCTGGCTTGCAATACAGAAAATCTAAATTAAAAAAAATTTCTGTAGCCTGGGGGTCCTGGCTGCTGTCTTGCTGGAGGCCATGGAGGGAGGAAGCTGGTCCTGTCTGTCTCAGGCCCCTGCCTGGGGTCTTTCCTGCTGCCTGGGGCTGGGACAGGGGAAAGCCCCACCCCGCAGCCCCAGGCACTTTGCAAGCCCCTGCCTCCCACCCTGCAGATCCCAATCCTTCAGCACGTGCAGGCCATGTCCCGGAAGCCAGTCTCGCTCTATGCCAGCCCCTGGACCTCCCCGACCTGGATGAAGACCAATGGGGCCATGACTGGCAGGGGCACGCTGAAGGGGAAGCCAGGCGACAAGTACCACAAGACTTGGGCCAACTACTTCATCAAGTGAGGGGCATCCAAGTGGAGGCAGGGGTGGGGGTCTTGGTGGTACGGCTAGACTGGGGGCTGCAGTGGGCCTGGGCCCTGCCCCCAGGCGGGGGGGGGCCTGGCCTGAGGAGGGGCCATGGCTGCTCACATGTCCGGCGCTGCCCCAGGTTCCTGGATGAATACGCCAAGCACAACCTGACGTTCTGGGCAGTGACGTCCGGGAATGAGCCCACAGCCGGGGAGATCGTCTTCTACCCCTTCCAGTGCCTGGGCTTCTCCCCTGAGCACCAGCGGGACTTCATTGCCCGTGACCTGGGCCCCGCGCTGGCCAACAGCTCGCACAAGGGCATCCAGCTCATCATGCTCGATGACCAGCGCATGATGCTGCCCTACTGGGCTGAGGTGGTGAGTCTGTGCGCTGCTGGGTCCTGCTGGGCTCCCCCCTTACCCCACATGGCCCGGCCCTTCCTACCCCATGGGGATGGGAGAGGCTGGGCCCTAGTGACCCCCTCGTGCCATGCTGCAGGTGCTCAAGGACCCAGTGGCTGCCAGCTATATCAATGGCATCGGCATCCACTGGTACCTGGACTTCCTGGCACCCATTGACCTCACATTGTCCATGACCCACCATCTCTTCCCCAACTACTACCTCCTGTCCACCGAGGCCTCCACGGGCTCCTACTTCTGGGAGCCCCGGGTGATCCTGGGGGGCTGGGACCGTGGCAGCAAGTATAGCCACAGCATCCTGACGGTAAGGCCCTGGCACAGGCGGCCTGTGCCCTGCTAGGGGAGGGGGGCAGGAGCTCAGCTCCCTGCAGCGCCCTTCACCGATGTGACCCCCCCTGCAGAACCTGAACAACTACGTCACGGGCTGGACCGACTGGAACCTGGCGCTGGACCTGGAGGGTGGCCCCAACTGGAGCAAGAACTACGTGGACAGCCCCATCATCGTAGACAGCAGCAAGGACCTCTTTTACAAGCAGCCCATGTTCTACCACATGGGCCACTTCAGGTAGTGCATGACTGCCATGTGCCAAGCCAAGCATGGTCACGTGTGTGATGAGGTGTGTCCACGACTAGCTGGGTGCACTCCTGTGTACGAGACCACATGCGACCCAGCGCAGATGGTATGTGTTGGGACATGGCAGATCCAGGGCCCTGCCTGGGCAGACATGTGTGGCTGCTTCTGTGCACCCAGGATGAAATGCTGTCCCGGTATCAGGGCCCAGGCCAGGCCCCAGCAACTAGTTTGGGGCACCCCCCTCCCCCACCCCCGTATCTCTACCCTTATGGCTATGCCCTTATTTCTGCAGCAAGTTCCTGCCCGAGGGCTCACAGCGTGTGGGGCTGGCCGCAGAGCAGAAGTGCTACCAGTGCGAACTGGAGTACTCAGCCTTCCTGCGCCCCGATGGTGCCGCTGTGGTCGTGGTGCTGAACAGGTGAGCGGTGCGGGGTGTGGGAGCCCTGGATGGGAGCATGGGGAGGGCTCAGACCAGCCTTAGCTGCCAAGGGAGGTTCTGACCTGCCTCTGCTCCTCCCAGGACCCCCAAGGACATATCCTTTGTGATCTCTGACCCTGGCATTGGCTTCATTGATGCAAAGGCTCCAGCCGACTCCGTCCAGACCTACCTGTGGATGCGGCAGAAAGGGGACCCAGGAAGGCCCCCCCAGGGTCCCCAGGTATAGGGGGAGGAAGAAGGTGCCCCCCTACACTGAAACCCCTCAACGCGTTTGCCCCATCCCTCCAGGGAGGGGCTTGGGGATGGGCCCCACGGAGCTGCCATGTCACCTGTTAGCTTTCTGCCCACAGGTGGGGGGCCTGAATGACCCAGGGGTGCTGCTAGGAGGGCCCCAAACTGTGAGGGCCACGATGCCCACTCTTTTCTAGACATTTTCATAAAATAAACTGGTTTTTGCACTGCACCTAGGGCCTCCATCCTGTACAGCCGCTGCGGGGGTGCAGGCAGGTGGCAGTGCGTGGGCTGCGGCCGCAGTTGCGAGTGCAGGGCATGCAGGGGTCATCTGAGCTGTGGAGGCAGCATGGCTGGAAGGCTAGAGCTGGGCCTAGCCAGCTGGTCACTGGGTTTCCTCTACGTGGCTGCTTCCACCCGTGCTCCTAGCCAGTTTCATGGTCAGTGAGAGGGCAACGGAGCTCCTCTGTGCAGCTGGCACCTGCCCACAGCTCCCAGTGCCAGGGAGGGGGTGGCCAGGGCAGGGCCGCCTGGAAGGTGATGGCTGGAGTCAGGCAGACGGGGAATGCGCCTGGAGCCCTGACGTCAGCGCTCCTTGCTTGCCGGGCCGGGGCTGAGGCCAGGGCCAGAGACAGAACGGGGCCGCCGTGGTTTCTCCTGCTGGAGCGAGATCCCCCTTGGCAGTGTGCGGGGCTGGCGGCAGCCGTGTTCCCCCCACGCTGGAGCATGCGGCACATACTTCCTAAGTGACGTTATCCAGGGCAGCCTGGGGGGGAGGGGAATCCTTCCCCCTGGGGCCAGGGCCAGCCCTGCTGCAAGCCAGGCGAGCCAAGGAAGCCCCCAAGGCAAGCGTCTGGGGCTGTGTGGAGGCCAGCCCCCGCCCAGCCGAACCCTGACGAATGCTGGCTCTGGGGTGGGCCCGTGGGCCTGGGCTGGGCTCTAACAGCCCAAGGCCCCTGCAGCCGCCACGCGCCGCATCCAGGCTCAGCAGAGCCCCAGAACAGCAATGGAGCCCGGCATGCTGGGGTCAGAGCAGGGCAGTCACTGGCTTTGCCAGCACATGGTCCCTGGGCCTGGGCCCGCAAGGCCCATGGCCCTTGCCCCAGGGCCTGGCTGTGCTCTGCAAAGGCTGCTGGGGTCTCTGCCTTCAAGCGCCGGGTGTCAGGGCAATGCCAGGACCAGCACGTGGCTGGGGGGACGCTCTGTAGGGTGCAGGAGGGGAGCTTCTGTCCTGGCCAGGCCACCAGGACCAGCAGCCACGAGTCTCCGGCCGGCCAAACCCACAGGAAGCAGGTCATGGAAAGTGGCTGGGGCAGCCACAGCAGCCAGGATTCCTGGGAGCGTTTACACAAGGCAGAACAAGGGAGGGCTGTGTGCGCCTCCCTCCCGCCCCAGCGCAAACAGCCCCAGCCCAGGCCAGCTGTCAGCCGCAGTCCGACCGCTTTCCACGTGCAGTCTGGTAACCTGAGCACTGGGGAAGCACGTCCCAGTAGGGTCCTCAGGTAGGGTCCCCAAGGCAGCAAGGAGCCCAGGCATGGGTGCAGGGGTGAGTGGGTGGGGATGAGCTAGCACTGGCCGGGCAGCCCCCCTAGGAGCATCCCCGCCCCAGCCACATGGAATGGGTTATCTACCCACCCCCGGCAGCGTGGGGCCGCCTGCCAGCTTTGCTGTACTGCTCGATCCCCTGAGCACTGTGCAGGGGAGAGGCTGCCTGGCTGCGCTGTTGTGCATGTGCAGCACCGTGCACGCGGGGCCCAGGGTAAGCTCATCATGGCCTCAACTGTGTTCTGCTGCCCTCACAAGAACTGTCGGAGCCGCGCTCCCCATGCTATGTGTTCTTGGCAGTGCCAGTGCCTAGGAACTCCCGCCGAGGAATGCAAACAGAGCTGCCGCTGCCGGAGGAATTCCTGACACAGCCACAGGCCAGAGGCTCTGGCCAGGCTCCTTGTGCTGCAGCAGCAAGACTGGTGTTAAGAGCTTCCTGCTCCTCCCATGCTTCTGGGGGCTCCCAGGTTGTAGGATGGGGGAAAGGATGGGGATCGGCCTCAGCCCAGCTCCAGGAGGGGAAGCACATGCATCCCCCAGCCGTGCCGGCTCCCTTCAGTGGTGCAGAGGCAGCTCGCCGGCTGCTTCATGCACAGGAGCTGGGCCGCGGTGCTGCTCTCCAGGCACCCCTGGCTCCTGGACTTGGTGCTCGGGCACCAGTTCACCAAAGCAGCTGTGCATGTGCCCAGCATTGAGGTATGCAGGAAGAAGGCCGAGCTGGGAGCGGTGGCCTTGGGGAAGCAGCAATGCTGAGCTCAGGGCACAAAGCAAGTCTGAGTCGCTCACCTGTGGAGGTGCCTTCCTCCGGCCTGGGATAAGGCAGCCACTGTCCTACTGGGGGACTCTCGCTGTGGCTGCTGTAGGCATGTGGGGCCAGTCAGGGCAGGACCCATGGCTCAGCAGTGGAGCAGGGAATCCTCACTCTCCCATCTTCCTCTTGTGAGCACAGGCAAGCCTGGGTTTGGCCCTGGCACCCATGCTCTTCCAGAGCTGCCCCAGGGTGCTCCCACACCCCCAGTCACAGGTTGCAGGGAGAAGCACTGCATCTGCCAGCTGGGTGAGCCTGGGACCACTGAGACCCCAGCCCAGCCACCTGCAGCATGGAGCAGGCAGGACGAGGCACCAGCCAGAGTCCAGGAGGCTCATGACACCAGTCACCGGCCCCAGCACAGCCTGCAACCACCAGGAAGGAAAAAGCAGGGATGTGGCAACACTGCCTCACCAGACTGTGCTGCACAAGGTTTGTCCCACACAAGCAGCCCCCTGCAGCAGCACACGACAGCACAGAGATACCCTGCAGAAAGAACGTAGGTTTAATGGGGCTCCCAGCACCTTGTAGGCGCTATGGATGGCGGTGGCTGGGCACCGCTCAGGAATGCAGAGGGGGCTGGGACCGTATTGTGCCCTTGACCAGCACAATGCGCGGTGCCCAGCGCCATACAAAAGTCCGTTCAAGTGACACCAATCAGTGAGAACCAAAGCCCTGAGAGCAGTGGCCAGAGGCCAGCACCTCACTCCTTTTCCTCCTCCTCCTCCAGGGAGATGGGCCAGCGGCCAGGCAGGCTGGGCTCTGTCCACGGGATGGAGACGATACCACTCAACATGGCGTAGCTGATCATGGCGCCCAGGGCCACCAGCACCGACAAGATCTGGTTGCGCCACTTGTGTGGATCTTCCTCGGAGTCGCTGCCCCCAGGGGCCGGGGGCCGGGGAGCAGTAGCCGGGGGATCGCCTGGCAAGGAGACATCCACAGTGAGCACCCTTGAGGCAGCATCTGGGCAGAGAATGGCTGCAATTCAGGCGAGCCAGTGCCCCTGATGCTCCACACACCCAGGCTGATGACAGGGTGCCCAAGAAGCTTCGTGCCCATGCAGCACAGGCACCATGTGGCCTCCCTCCATTACAGTGAGGTGGAGGGTTCCTGCAGCCACTTACCGCTGTCCCAGGGGAAGTAGAGGCTCAGGATGGAGGTGCAGTAGTTGCACAGGTTCTCCAGGGACTTCAGGTGCTGCTGCAGTTTGCCATTGGGCAGCTTTGCTTTGAGCAGTGGTGCCAGGTGACTGAAGACGAAGGCGTCCAGGGAAGCAGGCCTGAGGCACAGAGAGCATGTGCTGACAGCTGGTCGCCCCTCCTGGCCAGCCCACCCCAAAGCTGCTGGCGCCTGCAGACACAGACCCGCTCCCTCTGCCATGAGGATCCACCTACATATCTCCCCACATCACACAGTCACTGAGGGACCAGAGGGCTGCCCCTGCTGCTGCCGGGGGCTCACACCAACTCTAGTCCCACCACGGGCGCCCCCTCAGCCTGTCCTCTGCCAGTGAAGTGCTCTGGGGCACAGGGTTGGGGTACAGTCCCCAGGAGCTTGCAGCCTCTCCCAGCAGGACCCAAAGCAAGGGCTGGCAGGACATCGAGGGCAGGAGCAGCTCTCCTCAAGCATGTGAGTATGTGTTTGTCTCGTGCAATTCCCGCTCGCTGCAGCCGGCCCCTTTGAGCTGAATAAGCGGCACATTCAGCTACAGCCGTTTATGGCTCTGGCAGTTATGAAGCCATTAAAGCCGGAGCAAACAAGGCAGCCCTCTCAGGGCTCCGGCTCTGGCACGGCTGCTGTGGGGGAACGGCTGGTCTGGGCTTGGTGTGGTTTTACAGGGGAGGAGGGGACTCGTCGGGATGGCGGGGTCCTAACGGGTGGTGAGGAATGGTTCTGCTGGCCGCCCCCAGGCACATTCTCACAGGGCAGCCGTGTTGGCCCAGCTCAGCCCCACTTTGCTCACGATGGTCCTGGGGTTTCTTGTGGATGCTCAGAGCTTCCCTCGGGAGCTGCCATTTCAAGGAGGCCAGGACTCCAGCACGAGCCCGGCCTGCAGCTCAGAGTGCTGCCTATACCTGCTGCCACTCTGTGGCCATGCCCTTACCCCACCCCCCTGCGTGAGCAGCTCGCCCTCCAGCACTTACGAGTCTCCGAAGAAGAACTTCTGGGCCCCAAGGCGCTGGGACAGGAGTGTCAGGCACTCCCGGGCTTCGTGGTACAGCTACAGGATGAGGAGAGCAGTGCCACTGTGACACCCTGCACCAAGCCCAGTGCCTACCCCTGCCCCCCAGGCTAGAGCGTGCCCGGCCAACAGGATGGACAGTGTCCCTGTTGACCTCCTGCCCCAGCACAGGGGCCAGTCTCAATGTCTCCCCTTCTGGCCTACAGCACCATTCTGCGCCCTCCTGGGAGAGGGGTTCAGCCTGACAGCTCTGCCCCCTCCCCTGGACCCCGGAGCCACACATTGCATAGCTGGGGATCAGGCAGGGACCCCCAACACCACCTATCCAGGGAGGGCCAGCTACCCCTGCATGGGCCATGGTCAGGGACCCACGGGACCCACCCACCCACTCACTACCTTCTCTAGCCTTTCCTCGTCTTCCAGGCAGTCATCCCCGCAGAGCAGCTGCAGCTGCTCCAGGCGCTGCTTGTGCATGCGGTTGGGCAGAAAGAAGTTGAGAGGAAAGGGGGTGGCTTCTGCGTACCACTTCCGTGTGTGCGCCACGTAGTTCTCGGCATCCACCCAGAACGTGTGGATCTGGTGGGAGCAGCAGTATGGGACCAAGACTGCTTTCTCTGCCTGGCGCAGGCCCGAGGCAGCTCACAGCCCCCAAAGTTCAGCCTGCCCGTGTCGCTGCATTATCATCCCAGCCCATGGCTCCATCTGGCTGTCCTGGCATCTGTCAGCGCACCTCCCCCTGTGCCACCATACCCGGCCACGGACCTGGGCTCCCAGCAGCACCACCCCCAGCCCGCCACATGTCAGCAGTCCTCTTCCACAGACACTCACCAGTGCCGGCAGCAGCTTCTCTTCCAGCAGGCACATGAAGGCAAGGGTGTCGGCCCCCTGCCTGGCTGAGAGATCATAGTCTGCGTTGTACTTCTGTGGGCAACAGCGCGGTGTGAGCCAGGGCTAGATGGCAGCAGGCCAGGGTCTGCATGACGCATGGGCAGCCCCAGGAGTGTGAAGCTGCAGGGCTAGGCCGCCCTTGGTGTCTGCTTGGAGAAGAGAGAACCCCCCCCCCCCCCCCCCCCACCC